TACGTAATGTTGGCTTTTTACTGCAAGTGTGCCAATGGTTTTCGTAAGAACGTAAGGAAACTGCTTACTCAAGGATATATTTCTTGAAAAAAAAAATAGATACTCTACCTTCAATTGAGTTCTATTTTTAATTCACTTTATAATTTAGCGCGGTCTGCAAGAGTCACCGGTATTAGCTGACTACTCAAGCATGAAATAAGAACCACATAACCCGGGTAGTAAACATGAACTGTGCATAGGAAGGTAACACCTCAACAAGTAAGGTTCGATACGTTTTGTCGTTTTGTCCGTACGCCCTGATCACCCCGAAATTCTACAAGCATGTAACCGAAGTTACGCGTAATTGTGTTCATAATCTATGTAAAAACATCAAAGGCCTACATATTAGAGAACTAACACTTACAAATAGACTCACAATAAAGAAAAATATTTACCTTAACGGTGCATGGTTTTACAGATAAACAAAGACGACGCTGCTTCTTAAAAATTGGACATAAAAATTGATCCACATGACTAGATTTATACACAAAACCTAACAAATTACTCGAGAGACGATGATGTTACTTCACGCTCGTGTTCCTCATTCCAGCGTCACTGTACAATGAAACAGAATTAAAGGCCGCCAATTTCAGCTTAAAGGTTTGCTGAGAGCCTTCGGAGGAGGTCTTACTCGGATATCACAAAACTCAAACCTTCAGAGCTTTAAAATTATGGCTCAATTATTAACACTCTGGGTAGGTGACTGCTGATTGCTCCTTATAACATTACATACCCTTGTACGGTGAATGTCGCCACAGTTTAAGTTGGACGTCAAGGGCAATTAAAACATATTTTTCTTTTAAAGTGATCTCCTTTATACCCGGAAATAAACTTTCAAACAGTGTAAAGGCCTTTTTAGTATTATATATTATTTGATTACTGTTCTTTTACAAAAATATAGGGTTCCGTAGGTTCCGCGGTTTGTTGATCCGAAGTTCAGTAACACCGACTTCAGCGAGACGCAA